AAAGTTGATACTTCACTTAGTGATGTGGCAATTAAAAATAATAAATAAAATTTAATCTATTTTAATTTTCAACTCATTTTTACCATAAAATAAATAAATTAGCGATTAAGATAAATAAATTAGCCTTAACCCCGGTCAGGTTCCTGATCCTCCGCCGCTCGAAAGACGTCGTCACGGCGGCGTCGCGGCGGACGTCGACGGTGTCGAACTTGCATTGATCCTTCGTGTTCTTGTGCTTCAGCCTTAGGTAACCAGAGCGTGGAGCGAGAGCGGGAGCGGGAGCGAGAGCGTAAGAGCGTCGATTTTTGAAGAATTCAAAATTGAGAGCGTGAATAGAGCGTCAATATTATATTAATTATTAATTATTTTCTAAATGCATTAAAATAAAGATAGTAAATAAAATATAAAAATAATTATAAATGTATAATAATGTGCATTTAGAATTTTAGACATGTCATTCCTCACTCCTCACTCGGTAATTGAGAGGGCAATTTTTCCAACTGTACCCAACCCCCAAGTTTAGAAGACCCAATTACAAAATATCACTATGTGCCCATAAACCTCTTTCTCTCTCTCTACCTTTCCCTTTCTTTGCCTTTCTCTGTAACCCGATGAATCCCTATTATCTATTCTATATGTTGTTCATCCTCTGTAGCTGCCCTTCAATTTACCCATCAAAAGCTAGTAATCGATTCCTTTCTCATCTGCCTCTCTCTATTCTTCTGCTTCTTTCTATTACCCACTTCTCTCTTTCTAAACTAACAAAGTGGAAAGAGGCAGGAAAGCTCCCCTGAAGCTACATAATCGGCCAGTCCCATTTTGTTCTGGCTCTTCACTCTTTCTTTTCAAGTGAAAGAGAAAAAGAGAGGGGGAAGAATGTATCTCCTCTCACCCACTCATTTCCCCTCCGTTGATTCCGATCAAGAGGTTTTTTTAATCAAAGAATTTGGTTTTTGCATGTCATGTTTGTTCTGTTTGTTTTGTTTGATTTTGCAGGGGATTGCAAGGATCTGATTATGGTTGTTTGATTTTGCAGGGGACTACAAGGATCTGGTTATGGCTAGCTGGAGGCAGGGATGTTCCGGCGATCAGAACGAAATGGATATGGTTACGGCTTAGCGGAAGCATGCACCCCCAGAATCCCGGCCTCTCGCTCTTTTTCGCGGCAGTGACGGAAACGGTCAGATCCATCGTCCCCGCCTCTCTCCCACTGAATCTTAGGGATGTCTCTCCTCGTCAATGAAATTCGCGTTCTCCCTCAAATAATTCGCGCTCCCAAAAAACATAGTTCGCGAATTCTTTGCGCTCCATCCTAAATCCGCGATTCAGCGCTCCAAAGCGGGAACGTTGGGCCTATACCCACGAATTAGGTTACATAACTTCAGCCACACGAACCCTGTTTCCTTAACGTGCCCGCATTCCTCAATCTCCTCGACGACAGCGAGTAGCACGCGGCCGGGAAAGCCGATTTTCGCGAGCAGGAGGGCGAACTTCTCCCTGCACTTGGCGTCGCCGTGGTAGACATCGGCAACGCCCTTGGTTTTCATCTCCTCGAGGCTCGATGAGTTTGTAAGACACTGTGTTGGATTTTCCGGCCGGTTAGTAGTGGTGGTGGTGTATCATCATCGCGCTCAGTTGGTTCGACGTCGTCGTCCGGGCGGGAGTTGGTCTGGACAAGACTGGGGATACATGGCCGCCGGTGATTAAAAGGGTTGCGATTTTGAGAAGGGTATGGTTTTCTTTTGCCTTTGCCGTTTTGGACAAGGAATAATCAAGTATTGAATGGAAGGCGTAGGAAGAAGAAGGTGCCTTCGTTTTATGCCGAGTTAGTTATTTTTTAATTTTATGATGCAATCAAGCTAAAACTGTTGTCCACGACGTCGCCATGGCTGCCGCCATCATCGGCCAACTCTCGCCCAACATCGATCAGTCATCATCGTCGCTAGTGCCGAGAGTATAGTTGAGGAATGAAGTGAAAGTTTGATGGCAAGCCAAAGACTCCGGACCGAACGAACGAAGCGAAGGCCACCACGAACGATGCTCCATCATCACCATCCACTCTAGATGCTGAGCCTTAGTTTGTTGGGTTGGTAATTAATAATTATAATATTTTTTATTTTATTTATTTTATGGTAAAAATTAATTGGACATTAAAATAGATTAAATTTTATTTTATTTATTATTTTTTAATTGCCAGGTCACTAAGTTAACGGTCAACTTTGAGAGTTACTGCCGCATCAGCCAAAGTTAACGGAGTTGGATGGAGAGTGACCAAACGTGAACAGTTTCAATAACTAAAGTACAACCAATAAATTTAAATATTTCGAGTGACCAAACTTGAACATTTTTTGTAATCTCAATGACCAACCATGCAATTAACCCTTAATGTTTCATCTAACAAAATCTATTAGATATTCTCTCCTTGTCACCACATGTAATTAGGAATGGCAACGGGGCAGGTCCGGGGCGGGTATCTCGATACCCATACCCGCCCCATGGCAGGTCGGGTCCAGGTCGGGTAATCTATCACGTGGCGCGGGTCGGGGCAGGTCGACCCATTGGGTATGTAATTTATGTGAAAAACATTAGAAATATTCGTTCTTTTCATTGAAAGACCAAGAAAGAAACCACAATATGATAAAATGTAGTTAAATTATTGAAGAAATTGAGGTTTTCACTTATTTACAACTTTATTATAGCTAAAATATAATATATTAAGAGGAAAATCTTAAGTAATTTGACTAATATTATTTAGGTAACCAGAGCGTGGAGCGAGAGCGGGAGCGGGAGCGGGAGCGAGAGCGTAAGAGCGTCGATTTTTGAAGAACTCAAAATTGAGAGCGTGAATAGAGCGTCAATATTATATTAATTATTAATTATTTTCTAAATGCATTAAAATAAAGATAGTAAATAAAATATAAAAATAATTATAAATGTATAATAATGTGCATTTAGAATTTTAGACATGTCATTCCTCACTCCTCACTCGGTAATTGAGAGGGCAATTTTTCCAACTGTACCCAACCCCCAAGTTTAGAAGACCCAATTACAAAATATCACTATGTGCCCATAAACCTCTTTCTCTCTCTCTACCTTTCCCTTTCTTTGCCTTTCTCTGTAACCCGATGAATCCCTATTATCTATTCTATATGTTGTTCATCCTCTGTAGCTGCCCTTCAATTTACCCATCAAAAGCTAGTAATCGATTCCTTTCTCATCTGCCTCTCTCTATTCTTCTGCTTCTTTCTATTACCCACTTCTCTCTTTCTAAACTAACAAGGTGGAAAGAGGCAGGAAAGCTCCCCTGAAGCTACATAATCGGCCAGTCCCTTTCTGTTCTGGCTCTTCAATCTTTCTTTTCAAGTGAAAGAGAAAAAGAGAGGGGGAAGAATGTATCTCCTCTCACCCACTCATTTCCCCTCCGTTGATTCCGATCAGGAGGTTTTTTTAATCAAAGAATTTGGTTTTTGCATGTCATGTTTGTTCTGTTTGTTTTGTTTGATTTTGCAGGGGATTGCAAGGATCTGATTATGGTTGTTTGATTTTGCAGGGGACTACAAGGATCTGGTTATGGCTAGCTGGAGGCAGGGATGTTCCGGCGATCAGAACGAAATGGATATGGTTACGGCTTAGCGGAAGCATGCACCCCCAGAATCCCGGCCTCTCGCTCTTTTTCGCGGCAGTGACGGAAACGGTCAGATCCATCGTCCCCGCCTCTCTCCCACTGAATCTTAGGGATGTCTCTCCTCGTCAATGAAATTCGCGTTCTCCCTCAAATAATTCGCGCTCCCAAAAAACATAGTTCGCGAATTCTTTGCGCTCCATCCTAAATCCGCGATTCAGCGCTCCAAAGCGGGAACGTTGGGCCTATACCCACGAATTAGGTTACATAAAATATTATACTTAATTTAGGCAAGAACGGGTCGAGAATGGGGTGGGTCAGGGCAGGTCGGGTCGATGAGAGGTACCCATGCCCGCCCCGCCTCAAAACAGGTCAAACAGATCGGATAAATCGGGTCAGGTTGAAATTGCCATCTCTACATGTAATATTAATTTGTTCTTACTTAATGACTCTCCTAATTATAAACCGCTTTATCCGGGACAAGTACTAAATGAGCCAGCTGGGAAGGATCATGTTTATGCAAAAAGTGAACTGGACATAGTCAACTTAGATTAGCTACTGTAGTTGGTAACTTAGCCATATAGGCAAATTAAATGGTTTGACTGACATCATCCTCCACCGCCCGGCCGACGGCCGTGACCAGTGGCGGACCCAGAAATTTTTCATAGGGGTGTCCCATTTTAAAAAATAAATTAAATATAAATAAAATAATAAATATAAATATAAATAAAATTGTAAATAAGAAAATACATTAGTCGTACAGGTTAAAAAAGTCGATGATGTGTTTTCATATTCGGAAATAATTGTAGAATACACTTGATGTCTACAGTGTTAATAAACATTGTCTCTAAATATACTACTAGACAATCATTCACGAATTTATCGCATATTCGATTTGTAAACTTGCTCTTGATGTAACCCAAAGCTGAATGACTCTTTCAATACATACCTTACAACCATAAAATCAATACAAATTAAGGGTAGTTTGAAATTAGTTTAATTGTTAGGTTTTGAAAATAATTAGAGATAGGAAATGACATTTTACTATTACACAGTGTTCAAATCGAACAACAAATGAGTTGTAGTTTAATGAAAATTAAGTTTATTAATAATAATAGTGTTCTATGTTTGAATTACACAACCTACCACTTATATTCTCATACACAAATTTAAAAAATGACAATAAAATCATATTTTTTTAATTTCAGGGTGTTCCTCACTATCAATTATAACTTTTTTGACAATATGTAAATTACCCCTGGGTCCGCCCCTGATCGTGACTAAATTATAACAAAACCAAATGCTTGTTTGAGGAGACGAACCAACCATAACACTATTTAAGCTCTTTCCCCCGCCGTAGTGGAAAATAATCAAAAAAATGGCGACCACGTCCAACGACTCCGCGTCGTCCGAGCGCCTCGCCGAGCTAAAGACCTTCGACGAAACCAAAGCCGGAGGGCGGAGTCAAAGGGCTGGCCGACGCCGGCATCACAGAGCTCCCACGCATCTTCCACACGCCGCCTCGCCTCTTGGACAACCGCCCCGCCGTCTCATCCGAAGATCCCGACTTCATCTTCCCTGTCATCGACTTGGAAGGCGTGTTGGATCCGAACAAGCGAACCTGGATCGTCAAGAACATCCGGGACGCGTCGGGAAAATGGGGTTTCTTCCAGGTATTAGAGTATGAGTAGTACAAGTAGTATTATAGGGGAGTTCTACGGTACCCAGGATGAAATTCAGGGTACCGCATACATTGAGTAAAAAAACGTTATCCAGAACTTGAATTGACTAATCTTTCGAACATGGTACTATACTCTAATCCTTAAAGATCAACATCTAGGTCTTAATTCTCTAAATCTTATACCCCAAGATCAATTTAGTTAAAAAAAATAATCGACGGTTATGATTTGTCTAAATATAGGCAAAAAAATCAATGCACCATCTTAGGGTTTATAGTTTATGATTTAGATAATTAGGACCTAGGGTTCACTCATTAAGGGTTAGGGTATAGTATCTTGTCCAAACTCCTTCTAATTCAAGGTCTAGATAGCGTTTTCATACTCAAGGTATGCGGTACCCCGGATTTCACCCGGGTACCATAGAAGGCACCATTATTATATAATATACTACGAATCATATTATATATTACTTATAAGTAGGGGTGGCAGTCAGTCGGTTTCGGTTTAACGGAAAACCGATTTCTCGGTTATTGGTTAAACCGAGCAACCACCTCCTATTGTCGACCACTGACCGTGAGGGAAACCAGGGCTAGTCGACCACCGACCGGTCGGTTATTGGTTTTGGTTCGGTTAGCCGCATACCCGAAAACACTCCCTTCTCTAAAAAAAAAATCATTAAAAATTATTAAAAAAAACAAACGAAAATTCCCTACCACTAAATCCTTATCTTCTTCCTCCTTCTCTCTCCTTCTTTCTCCTTCCTTCCTCCAAAAAGACCCACCAAAGACCAGACCACTTCTTCCTTCTCTCTCCTTCCTCCATTTCAAACCCACAACACCCGACCACTCCTTCCTTCCTTCATTTCAGGTTTAGACACCATGACGGACGGTCGCGGAGAAGAAGCAGAGGCACAACGGCGGCCACGGAGGAGAGCGAAGGGAGACATCCACGGCGCAGAAGAGGCGAAAATGGAGAGGGAAGGGATGGCGATGGGAGACGCGCGGAGACCTGGGGTCGTCGGGGATGGGAGATGGCGATGTCGGAACGAAATCGGCGAGGAGAAACGATGATATCTCTGGCTCTGGCTCGCGGTGCCCGGTCGTCGGGGAGGGCGGGGAGGGGAGACGGAGTCGTCGGAGAGGGTGGCTGGGGTTTGGATGGCGGAGGGCGAAGGTAATGGCAAAGAATCGAAGGGTTTGGATGGCTGGCTGGGCTGGGATTTGAAGGAGTACGAAGAAGAAAGAATTAGGGTTGGGGTTTGGCCGAAGGAGGGGGTCGTTTTCAGTGATGGTGAACGACAACGTTTTATTAAAAGGATGAATGGTTGGTTATGTTTGGTTAGTCGGGTAACCGCGGTTAATCATCCTCGGTTATTTATTCCATTGAACACCGACCGAGGTAAATAACCGCCGGTTTTCGGTTAGCTACTAACCGACGGTTATCGGTTGAACCGGCCGGTTAGCCGCTAACCGGAAATTGAACTGCCACCCCTACTTATAAGAGTTGTGGAAGTCAGTTAATTTCCGTATTAGTGTTGGGGTTATTATTGAAGTTCGTCATTGTAGTCTCTGTAAACTCTTTTCTTATTTCAGTAAATAGTACATAACAATTTCCACCATATTCTGATTTATCAACGCTAGGTGGTGAACCACGGGGTTCCTGCAATTGTCATGAAGGAGATGCAGGCCGGAATCCGCAAGTTCTATGAGCAGGACGTGGAGCTGGAGAAGGAATTCTTTGGCTGCGACCCGACCAAGAAAGTCGTCTACAACAGCAACTTCGATTTGTATAACGCACCCGCTGCCAACTGGCGTGACTCGACGCTGTATCACATGGCTCCGGATCCGCCAGCGCTGGTGGAATTTTCGGCTTGCTGCAGGGAAATCCCGACGGAGTACTCCAAGGAGATGAAAAAGTTTGGAGATTTGCTCTTTCAGCTGTTGTCCGAGGCTCTGGGTTTGAGGTCAGATCATCTCAGAGAAATTGGTTGTGTGGAGGGAATGGTGATGGGGTGTCATTACTATCCGGCATGTCCTCAACCGAAACTCACGATTGGGTTGGGAAAACATTCCGATCTCGACTTTGCCACTATCCTCCTACAGGATCACATCGGAGGGCTTGAGGTTCTTCATTGGAATCAATGGGTCGATGTGCCTTACTCTTTTGGAGGTTTGGTGATTAACATCGGAGATCTGCTTCAGGCAAGTTCCTTATTTAGTTATTTTGTTGTTGTGGAAAGTTGACTTAATTCTTCGAGACTCGTAACATAATGGTCCAAATGTTTTTCCCCAATTGATATGGAACGATGTGTATATAAGCGTGGAGCACAGAGTGGTGGCAAAAAGTGTTGGGCCAAGAGTGTCGATAGCATCACTTTTCGGCACAGGACTTTCACCTAATCCGAAGATCTATGGGCCGATAAAGGAGTTGGTGTCGGAAGATAATCCACTGATATACAAGGAAACCACGATGCAGAACTACGGTGCCCGCTACTTTGAAAAAGGTCTTGATGGGAGCTCTACATTGCTTCAGTTTAAGCTATGAGGGTCGAGTTGCTAAATATCTATGCGAAACTTAAGATTTACGTAATGTATTTTAGACATATAATCCATTTGTGAGATATCAATGGCCCCTACTACAATAAGAGGCCTTGATGATGGGTTCTTTACTTGGGCACATTTGGATATTTAATACTAGTCGGATATGCAATGTAAATATTTCTTATAGTTGAAGCGGCAATTGTCTTGAAAGTCTTTTCTCTCCCATATTTACTGTGAGAGTAATAAGTTTGCGGACTATTTAATTAATTATGACCATTGCTTGTCTCCAGGCATCTACACGATTTCGATTTTGGATCCCGCCCTTAACCATTTTCTGTTGTATGACTGTCATGAGCTTTCTGAACTATGTTTGATGTTGTATAAAATCTAAAATGCTTTGCATGTTTTTTTATTGGTAATTGCTTTCCAATAATTTTAACACATACCAATTTAGAGTTGTAGTGGTAAGCCAATGTCATTATGTTCAAAGATTCTCTTGCTGCTCTAGAATATAACAATCTGACCTTTATACCTTCATCAAAAAAAACAATTTGACCTTTATACAAGTTGAATTATCTTCTGGGAAAGACAAGAAGGGAGCTAGCAAATCCTTTGGCCACAATACTTATCAAACCACTCCAACTTCTATTAATCCACAGGATAGAGTGAGAACACTCCAAGCTGAAACCGTATAGTCTTTCTTAAGAAGAGTCTTGACCTATTACAAGTGTTTGTATATACCATGGTTTAAGAAAGCACGCTTAAACTTACGTTTAGACCCGCCCCTAGGCTCTAGGCAACACCAAAATACTTTGGATTTCGTGGCGACTTAGAATCAAGAATACGTCATAGAGTAAGAAGACACCTAGGTGATGGCTAGACATAATTAGACCAAGATAGGTAGCAAAGATCAAAGGACGAAATCAGCATCATCTACAAACTCGATCATTTATATCAATAGTTTCAATAGCTCAAGAACTTTATGAGCTATTTAGCTATGTTTATATGAGCTTGTGAGCTAGCTTGTGAGCTATTTTTCTTATTGTTGAGTGTTAAGTAAGTTATTAATCAATCAAATGGAAGTAGGGAGTTGACACGCTATGACAACTCCTAACAAAGGCCAAGTGTAACCAATGAAAGGGACTGCAGTATAGGGCTCAAGTAATAAATATCGAATCCACGGGTCTCTAGAGTTACTATTACTCAGCTTCAGTCTGGACGCCAATTGCTTCTTCAACCTCTCTTCCTTCTTCATGTGGTATCACCGTGAGAAATGATCAAGAACTCCTTCTGCTTCATTTTCGTCATCCTCCACAACTTCTTTATGCACCCTTTCTCGCTCTTCTTCTTCTAGCACGGATTGGAGAGCAAGTTGCCAAGCAATTTCTTTCATGAGATCTTCTTGCATATCCTCACTCATGCCCGCCTCTTCAAGGCACAGTTTGGGATGTGGGAAGGTGTGGTCGGCTACGACGGGACATTCCTGATCATGATCATCACGGGAGCTCTCCGTGACAACTTCTGTATGCTCCACACTGTCTTCGTAGCCTTCGTCTTCCTCCTCCTCTTCTTGTATAGTAGCAGAAGGGTGATCTTGAGCAGGCTGTGCATAAGATTTCTCAAGATCATCGAGGCTCTTCTTAATGCTCAGGAGGATCTCCTCTGTTTCACGATAGACCTGGGTACAAAGATCCATCCTGGAGCATGATCTCTCACTGTCTCGAGCAAACTGCTCCATGAGAAGTCTCAATTCATAGTTTGGATCTGGCTGTGGAGTGTAGCATGGCTCTGCAGAATGGCCCGTGAAGGCCGCCATGGGTAACTCCAGCTCCAATGGCCCTTCTGGTTGTGGGAGAAATTCTTCTTGGTAATGAGGTTGTTCTTGATATGCCCAGGGGTCTGATTGTTCTCCGTAGAAAGGGGGTTGGTACTGGAACCCGAATCCATAGTCTTCTCCTCCTTGATTGCTCCAGGGAGTCTCGGGGTAATACCACTCGGATGGTGGTAGATACCCCCAATGGTTGGAGAAGCCATGAGGATCCATGATTCAGATCTGCACCAACAAAAACAAAAACACCCAAGTAAAAAGCAAGGGTAAAAAGAAAAGAAAAACGCTAAAGTAACAAACTTCTGCCTTTCCTAATAATCTAGAAAGTCCCCGACAACGACGCCAAAAACTTGACACGCTATGACACAACTCCTAACAAAGGCCAAGTGTAACCAATGAAAGGGACTGCAGTATAGTGGCTCAAGTAATAAATATCGAATCCACGGGTCTCTGGAGTTACTATTACTCAGCTTCAGTTCATTATCTAGCAAGATTAAGATAGAACAACTAAAACTACTCTAGCAAACTACAGTTAAAGTTAATCTAATCACAGGTTGGGAACTCACTTAGGTATGATTACCCCTAGCCACTAGCCAGATTGATGATTGATGATTTCTAACTTGTTTCACTTTCATTCACAATGCGGAGAATCCTTGACTAGACCTTGAATCTCGACTAAAGGATCAAGGCCCTCTTGAGTCGATTGCCTAGAGGGACGTACCCTTCTCTAGAACAACCGATCAAGGCGTTCTGAACTAGACTCCCTCTATCGAATGAGGTTCTCAATCGATACAAAGCAGTGAATCGACCCTCGACTTAAGCAATCGATCCAATTCTATCAATCTATGGTGCTCTATTGACCTAATCAGGTATTCGCTCTCATAGGATCAAAGCAGAATCAATAATCTCTACTAAAGCAGAATTGAATCATGAAAACATGCATAGATTGAATATGAACTCAAGATTATCAAGTAAGAGTACTCATACAATCATCCAATCAAACAAACATAGCTAGGGTTCCTCAAAACCTAAGTGAAGGGAAGTTACTCCATAGAGAAGAGAGAGACTGCAGTAAGAATCTTCAGATGATCAGTCTTCAAGTCTGGGCTTGTTCCTCGAGCTTCCAAGGCGAAGAAATCCTCCAATTCCACTCCAAGAATGCCCTCAAATCGCCCTCTCTCTCTTTGGTTTGTCCCTTGGGTGTTTGGGATCCAAAACCCAGCTCTCTCTCTCCAAAAATTGCAAAACAGCTTTTATACACGCTGAAACTCGCACCCCCTACTTGCACGGCCGTGCAAATTGAGGTTTTGGCCGTGCAAACCCCCTGGGAAACCCACATGGCCGTGCAGAATTTCACACGGCCGTGCACAATTTCCAGCATGCACTCCTATGTTTCGTTGATCTCGTTTGAGCTCGTTTGACCTCTGATTCAGGTGCCGTTTGATCCCAGATACTCGTAGTCTTGTCCTCTTTCTTTTCATAAAAAATTTCATGAATCTTTGTAAATAAAATGAGGTATAAATCCATTCTTTCTCAAGTCATTCCCGAGTTTCTCACCCCGAGTCGCCAATTGATCTCCTATTGACTTGAAACTTGCGCCTAGGCTTCACTTTACATGCTAGGACCTGAAATGTGACAAAGGAACACAACCTAGCGTAAAATAGTCCAAGAAATCAAAAAATCAAGCCAAAATGATCAAGAAACGAGGGTGCAACATGTGCAAATACGACGTTATCAAATTCCCCCACACTTAACCGTTTGTTTATCCCCAAGCAAACCTAACTCAAACCAATGCAACTCTCCAGACCTCTATAGAAACAAACAACCCCGATCATCGGTAGAGGATTTCCTAGATCATATAGCAACTTACGAGGTCAACTGGTCTTCTAAGACGTCCCCTATCTCTCTCAATGCGAGTATTAGACTCAAGCCAGGATCATGAGAAGAAGTGGAAGTAAGACAGCCAGTTCATGGATAAAGAGACTCACACCATTCACAACCAAGGACTCGTTGTACCGGGGCGCTCTTTCACTTCTTTCGCCGTTGGAACCCCTTTTTTGCACTTTCATTTACACTTTTTTTTATTCACTTGGAGGGGGTTCCAACTGCAGTCTTTTGCACGGTCGACCCTTATAAGTCTAGCAAGAGCAATTTCTGTACATCTGGCGCTCGCCAGAGTACTTCTTTTAAATCCTTTTCCTCAACTCGTGTGGAGGGTTAATGAAATTAAGGGGGGTCGGAAGCTCTATCCGTGCCCTTAAAAACACATCCTCAAGTAGGCAAACCGTTCAACGGATGAAAATTTTACTTGTACTAGAGACAACTTAGCTTCACCTTGTAGGAGTACCCCACTAAGGATCACTAAAATCTCTTCCAAAACCCGATTTTGTGCAATGAGCTGTGCCACACACGTTGGGCTTACCCCATGTTTAAGATTTCGATGATTTCGACATGGAGGACCAACTGCTTTTCATTTCCCATATGAGCACCCTGTTCGATACACGAGTCCACAACATAATTCAAACAGATTCACCATTACCACATGAATTCAACGGTCTTAACTCCACTAATTCACAAAATCAACCGGCACAGCAGAGAGCTAGATAGGAAAAATCTTATACTTCAAACATCCTCCATAGTGCTACACTACCTCCCTTGGTTGCACATTACTATAGAGACTGTCAATTCAAAGCATACTGAGTAGGAAATTTGCAAGGAAACACGTACTTGGAGCCCTCAAATTTAAAAATTTGGACAGTGGACTAGGCTCCAAGCATACAAACAGCCAAACATTCACCCGCATACATAATCGAACACCCCCCACACTTAAGCACGACATTGTCCTCAATGGAGGAGAGATAAGGAGGGTAGAACAAAGTTACCAGATCAAGGGTGAATAATGGTGGACGGGGAAGGCGGTGCATTCCAGGAGGAGATAGTAGTCGGAACACAAACACCACAAAAAATCTCACAAAGGTTGAGTTATTGACTCTAAAATCAAAGAACAAAACTAACTAAACCGAGATGAAATAGAGAAAGAAATGCAAACCGACTGGTTGGGTTGCCTCCCAACACGCGCTTCTTTCACGTCGTGAGCCGGACGATGGCTCCTAAGTTTCGGTCCACCCCAAAACCTCCTTGAAGTTGAGGTTCTCATTAATGAGGTGGAGTCTCAA